CACATACTTACACATATACACATGCAACTACAAATACAAGTACCTACACCTACCCACATACATACATACACCCATATGACTATACATAGAAATACACCAGCCCTGTGGGCGTCGGTGGTTTGGAGCGTTTCCTTTTCCACCTCTCCTCTTCCCCTTTCAAGGAGGGGTTGATCACTGCTCCCTATTAATAATCACCCCCTCCCCCAGGCGACTGGGGGCCAACCAGGGTCCATGACGACACCCCCCCACCACCCCTGGTAAAAAACAATACAAAACACACTCTGCCTTCAAATTCGGAACATGCGCAGCCAACCTGATGCGCCCCCCCCACACCATCCCTGTCAAAACACAATACAGAGTACACTTGGCGGCGGCGGCGGCGGCTGCGGCGGCTGCGGCGGCGGCGGTGGCGGCAGCGGCTGCGGCGGCGGCGGCGGTTTGGCAGGGGGCGGCGGCGGCGGCGGCGGCGGCGGCAGGCGGCGGCGGCGGCGGCGGCGGCGCGGCGGCGGCGGCAGGCGGCGGCGGCGGCGCGGCGGCGGCGGCGGCGCGGCGGCGGCGGCGGCGGGCAGCGGCGGCGGCGGCGGCGGCGGCGGTGGAAGCGGCGGCGGCGGCGGATTGGCCCCCAGTAGCTCCCCATCCCAAGACGACTGCTGAATATGCTGAGGCTCGGGCCAGACTCGGGTGCTACGTGTGTGTTGGGAGGGCGGGTGGGAGTGAGCGAGACAGCTTGCGGGCGGGGAGGGGGTCTTGATCACTGTTCCTTATTAGTAACACCCCCTCCCCCAGGCGACTGGGGGCCAACTCGAGTCCATGCCGACACCCCCCCCACCACCATCCCTTGTAATTAGCCTGGCGAGGGACCCAACCATACGCAATTGTGGATACAGCAATTGTGAATACCATCTTCGCCCGCGCTCCCTATGTGGCCACGGCTTCCCGCCGGAGCCCGACATGCTCAGGGACACGTTTGTGGCCGTCTTCGCGGGCGCCGACGACCACGAGGACGGCGTCCCCCTGACCGAAGAGCAGAAGCAGGAAAGGGTTCTGAGAGCCATGAGGGAGACTGCCATTGGCGCCTTCGGTGGAGCTCCTATGGGGCCACGATCCTCATGAGGGGTGTGCCGAAATGGCCCGAGGCCGCCATGCGAACCCTGCCACTGGGGGCCTTCGGTGGAGCTCCCTATGGGGCCACGATCCTCGTGAGGGGTGTGCCGAAATGGCCCGAGGCCGCCATGCGAACCCTGCCACTGGGCCTTCGGTGGAGCTCCCTATGGGGCCACGATCCTCGTGAGGGGTGTGCCGAAATGGCCCGAGGCCGCCATGCGAACGCTGCCACTGGGGCCTTCGGTGGAGCTCCCTATGGGGCCACGATCCTCGTGAGGGGTGTGCCGAAATGGCCCGGGGCCGCCATGCGAACGCTGCCACTGGGGCCTTCGGTGGAGCTCCCTATGGGGCCACGATCCTCGTGAGGGGTGCGCCGAAATGGGGCGGGGCCACATGCGAACGCAGCCACTGGGGGCCTTCGGTGGAGCTCCCTATGGGGCCACGATCCTCGTGAGGGGTGTGCCGAAATGGCCCTGGGCCGCCATGCGAACGCTGCCACTGGCGCCTTCGGTGGAGCTCCCTATGGGGCCACGATCCTCGTGAGGGGTGCGCCGAAATGGCCCGGGGCCGCCATGCGAACGCTGCCACTGGCGCCTTCGGTGGAGCTCCTCTCCTTATGGGGCCACGATCCTCGTGAGGGATGCGCCGAAATGGGGCGGGGCCGCCATGCGAACGCTGCCACGGGCGCCTTCGGTGGAGCTCCCTATGGGGCCACGATCCTCGTGAGGGGTGTGCCGAGATGGGGCGGGGCCCACATGCGAACGCAGCCACTGGAGCCTTCGGTGGAGCTCCCTATGGGGCCACGATCCTCGTGAGGGGTGCGCCGAAATGGGGCGGGGCCACCATGCGAACGCAGCCACTGGGGCCTTCGGTGGAGCTCCTATGGGGCCACGATCCTCGTGAGGGGTGTGCCGAAATGGGGCGGGGCCCACATGCGAACGCTGCCACTGGAGCCTTCGGTGGAGCTCCCTATGGGGCCACGATCCTCGTGAGGGGTGCGCCAAAATGGGGCGGGGCCGCCATGCGAACGCAGCCACTGGGGCCTTCGGTGGAGCTCCTCATGGGGCCACGAAACGCTGTATCGGGTGGACGAAACGCAGGGAGGAGGCGGGAGGAGGAGGAGAAGAGGAGACGCGGGCCACCGTCTCTTCAAAACGAGGACCCAACACCACAGGATGGTTGGGAAAAAACAATACAAACACACACTCTGCCTCCAAATTCGGAACATGCGCAGCCAACCCGATGCGCCCCCCCCCCACCACCCCTGTCAAAAAACAATACAGAATACACTTGGCGGCGGCGGCGGCGGCGGCTGCGGCGGCGGCGGCGGCGGCGGCGGCGGCGGGGGCGGCGGCGGCGGCGGCGGCGGCGGCTGCGGCGGCGGCAGCGGCGGTGGCGGCAGCGGCGGCGGCTGCGGCGGCGGTTTGGCAGCGGGGGGGCGGCGGGCGGCGGCGGCGGCGGCGGCGGCGCGGCGGCGGCGGCAGGCGGCGGCGGCGGCGGCGGCGGCGGCGGCGGCGGCGGCGGCGGCGGCGGCGGCGGGCGGCGGCGGCAGCGGCGGCGGCGGCGGCGGCGGCGGCGGAGGCAGCGGCGGCGGCGGCGGATTGGCCCCCAGTAGCTCCCCATCCCAAGACGACTGCTGAATATGCTGAGGCTCGGGCCAGACTCGGGTGCTACGTGTGTGTTGGGAGGGCGGGTGGGAGTGAGCAAGACGGCTTGCGGGCGGGGAGGGGGTAACTTGACCCCTCCCCCTACCCCCTCCCCTGAACCTGGAGGGGGGGGTGCGAGTCGTCGGAGCGTCCGAAACGGCCTCGGCGAGGAAGCCAAAACCATTGGTTTTACCTGGGTGTTGGCCCCATGTTGGCCTCCTGAGTGGGGGACCCTAATTACTACCCCCCCCTCCTGTGATCGATCTCCTCCAAGATGGCCCCCAAGGCTCCCAAGGGTGCCCCAAGAGGACCCCAAGAGGTGGCCAGGAAGCCCCAAGAGGCCCCCAGGAGGCCCCCAGGATGCCCCCAAGAGGCTCCCAAGAGGCCCCCAAGAGACCTCCAAGAGGCCCCAAGAGGCCCCCCAGGGGCACCCAAGATACTCCAAGAGGCCTCGGCGACAATGCCAAAATCGCTGATTTTACTAAGGTTTTGGCCACATGTGGGGGGCACTGCTTCAGATGACTCCAAGAGCGCCTGGGAGAGCCAAAGATAATCTCCAAGATGGCTCAAGATATCCCAAGATGCCTCAAGATGGCGCCCACGATGCTCCAAGAGGCCCCAAGACCGCTCCAAGACGGCTCCAAGTGGCCAAAGAGCTCCCCCAGGAGGCCCCGAAGAGGCCAAAATCCTTACAACACCTTTGGAAAATCTACGTTTTCTCGCCGAGGCCTCCAGATGGCTCCAAGATGGCCCAAGAGGGCTCCAAGAGCGCTCCCAAGGCTCCCAAGAGCGCTTCAAGAGGGCCCCAAGAGGCATCCAGGAGGCCCCAGGAGGCCCCAACAGGCGCCCAAGAGGCCTCCAAGAGGCTCCCAAGAGATCCCCAAGAGGCCCCAAGAAGCTTTCCGAGGCACCCAAAACGCTCTAAGGGGCGTCCGGGACCGCCAAGAGGCCCCCAAGACGCTCCAAGAAGCCTCCACTGGGGGACTCTTCCTCTGTGTGCTGCCCGCTTCCCTGATCGAGGCAATTTCTCTGGGCATCGTATTTGGATGGGCTGGTGGGGATTCGCGAAGCGTCAACAATTCAGATGTACTTACACTCCACCTATGCATGTTCAAGTACATATACGTATATATATATATATATATATACCGATGATCATACATATACAGGTGTATGAGCACATACATATACATGTACATAGACAGTCTACCGATGCCTATGCACGTATATTTGTAAGTATATATATACGTATGCATAAACATGTACGCATGCGTCTACATATATTAGTACATGTGTATATACATGTACATATATGTGCATGTACTTGTGACGTTACACACACATGCATATGCATGCTCATAGGCATAGACCTGGACATTTGCATATGCAACTATATAAACATATACGTATAATGTTGCATACGCAAGTACATATACACATGCATGTGTAGGCACATCTACAGAACCTCATGGAAAGAAGTACACATGCACAGATATATCTATGTATTAACAGCATCTACATACACATGTATGCGTACGTAAAAATGCATGTGTCCAAACATACACAAATATTCATGTATATAGATTTACGTATAAAAATATAATTATACATACATACACACATGTGTATACATATATGTATGCATGTACATAGTCAGATAAGTATGTAAGTATGTATATACGTGTGTATGCGTTATGTGCATACGTATATAATGTTAAATGCATCTGTATATACATAGACACATGCAAATACATGTGCACACACATGTACATACATGTGTGTTTGTACGTAAATAAATGAAAATACAGTTATGTATGCGTTTACGTATACAAGTACACATGCATATACGAAGATATGCATATGTATGTATATACAACATTCGTACACATATAATGTGAATATACCCACATTTGCATAAATATATACATTGCCGAAGTAAATAGAGGCCTGAAATTCCACCCCGATGACAAGTACCTCGACAAGCAAGGCCGTTTAGTCAACGCGCCCAAGGAAGAAATCGAACAGGGCAGGGCTGTGTAGTAAACGCCCAGGGCCGTTAAGCTAACGCCAATTGCAAGGGTCTGGGTGGTTTTCCTTTGAACGAAAAGAGAAAGAGAGAGAGAGAGAGAACAAAAAACAGAGAGGGAGAGAAAGGCAGGAAAGAACAGAGAGAGAAAGAGAGAGAGAGAGATAGAGCGAGAGAGACATGAAGAGAGTGAGAGAGAGGGAACGTACAAGGGCAAGGGTGGCCTTAGATGAATAGACCGCCTCAGAGCGGGGATGCTTGGAGATCGTCTTGTAGAGCACCGGCTGCGTGTACTCTGGTGCATCCGTCTCGTTGTGGCCGTAGCGCCTCGTGGAGGTTCCAGGAGACGAAGGCAGGGGATTCGAAAAAAATGGCGTGCTAAAAAATAGATGGCATCTGTGACGGCCAGCGACTCGAAAGGATGTATTGGGCGCTGGGGCCATTCCAGGCCACTCCAGCAGGCTTGGAGTGGGCTCCAGAACGAGTCACCAGGAGACTGCCTGATTCCAGGAGGGTCTGTAAGGATGGCTCCCTATCCAGAGCTCCGACGTCGTGACTTCTCCACAACGTGGGGCCCCAGAAATCTCGCCACCGTCCCTGGGACAGGTCACGGGAACGGCCACGGGAAGCGACCGCGCAGCTCGCGGAGCGAAGAAACCCAGGGTACCCTGACGAGAAGCAGTCAGCGTCTTGATGCGCGCCCCCACTGCTTGCGATTCAGGACTGCCAAGGCGCAGCAGTTACGTTGACTCGCCGGGTTGGAGTCCCAGGACTGGTTGTCTGGCAAGACTGAGGACGGCCAAGACGCAACAGTCAGGTTGATTCGCGGCGTTGGAGTCCTGAGAATGGTGTTTTGGCACGCCTCAGGATCTTCAAATGGTTACCTCCCAACGGGGCACTTCCCTCAGTGGACATGCATCCTTGTAGGGACCTATGAAGAGAGAGCTTTGAGGGAGGGTGTGTTCCAACATCGTTGACAAGTCTTGGGTTTACACTGGTCCTCCTCCTCCTCCTCCGCCTTGACACTTATCCGGTCAATTGTTGAGCGGTGTAAGGCGGTGCTCTCTGCTGGCAAGCATATATAATGAGTGGTGTTGCGCGATGTTGAACGGTGATGTTCTGATGAGCTATGACATGCTGTGTCCAAACATTCATCTGGATCGGACACGTCCCCTCTTCGAGACTCAAAGAATCGGGGTTTGGATGTGTTTGGGCCCTTTGGGGCCTCCAGAAGCCTCCAGAGGCATGGAGACGGAGCAGCAGCGGGGGAGAAGGAGATGGAGGAGGAGGAGGAGGAGGAGCAGCAAGCAGCAGTAGTACCAGGATAAGAAAGAGGAGTGGGAGGAGGAGGAGGAGGAAAACAAGAAGGGGTGCAGTCCACGAGCCAAAAGTCCCATCGAAACTATCGAAAGAAACTGGGCGCAGCTCCGCTTCGAGCAGCACCCGCTGCTCCCTTCTGAAACGGCACGCTTCTCCGATCCGACGTCCAGCGCTCTAGACACCCGAACAAATCAGGTCTCCTCGAGGGAGGGCGTCGACACTCGCTCTTTCGCAAGCCTGTCACCAACGCCTGGTCCGAGCACACTCCACCACAGCAACTGGATAAACAGAACCGTGCAGGCTCGCAGCACGATGTCGAGCTCGGATAACTGCCTTGAGACCGTCTGCTGAACGGCCTGGTCAGCAGAATTGGCCGGGCTGCCAGTGGCACCTCACAGCCGCTTCTCCCCCAGCGCTCGCAAATCTTCACTGGGACCAGGAGGATGAAGACAGGAAGGGTGATGGGAAGAGAAAGAGGAAGGAACGATGGAGGGGGGAGGAGGGGAGGGCGGGGGGCGGGGCGGTTCTTGCGGCGTTGTTGGAGTCTCCTGAGGGAGGAGGACGTCGCCACGGCTAGCCTCGCGTCGAGATCATGGCCTCGAGATCCTCGAGATCCTGACTCGAGATCTTAGAACCGCCCCGAAACATGAGCCCCTGCTCGGAGTGGTCCTTGATATTTCAGCATCTTGATCCAGGACAGGTCTGGAGTTGATCTGGACACGACGGGACGAGTTTGTCTGGATTTGGTCTGGAGATGATATGGCTACCCACGAGGCTGCCTCGAATCGCAGATCGATCGAACCGAATGCATGCACCATCAAACCGATCGGATCGAGCTCCGCCCGCGGGTTAGAGGGTCGACCTTGAAGGTGCATGGTCGAATCGGTCTACACCGTGCCTCACGTAACCGAGTGAACCGTGGACAACCCTGATCCGACCTAAACCCTAAGACCTAAAACCTAAAACCTAAACCCTAAACCCTAAACCCCAAACCCCAAACCTGCACATCAGTTATTCGCATAACTCGTTGAGTTCGTTCCACGCTCTAGCATGACCTGCCCCAAGCTTCCCACATGCGTGTGAGACCAACCTCAATGACCAGATCCAATGCAAGCATCTCTGCTCATAGCATCGCCAAGCCCGCAGGAAGGAATCCACAGTCCATCCGCTCTCCTCTCTTGCCTTGTCTCCCTCCTCCGTTCTCCATCCCTTCCCTCCCATATTTCACGACCCCCCTCACTCCCACCCAACATGTACACCACCAGACCGGCCGCCTACGCGCTTCTCAAGCGAGTTTGCCTAAGTGCCCTTGGCACCGGTACCCAATGACGTCCACGATCACGTCCGTGCCCCACGCCTGAGAGCAAGTGATGAATTGTCGGAAAGCCCCATTCGATCGACAGCAAGTTGACACAGGAAAGCGCGAACACATCATATATAATAAACACATCAGCTCGCGAAAGAAAATAATACGCAAACATGCGAGTGCTGCAAGTGGACTTGACACGGCCTACACTATGATGTTGCGCTGTCTTCCCTGAACTGTTCCTAGCGCAACTAACGCAAGTGGCTACCGTGAAATGGTGGCGGCGCGATCTAACTCATGAGATCGATGGCCAGCAAAATACGAATACTGAAACATCAAATGCCACCAGTTTCGAAAAGCCGTCGTCCGACCAGCTCTGAGACTCGTTCGGGTTTCGATATCAATATTGGAGAAAGCGTGATCCACCGCCGCTTTACTGTGGAAAATTGCCAACCTTTTCCTCCGGAACCCGGGGATCGCCCCCCCCCCCTCCGAAAATCCCCCCCCCCTGCTGGACCCCCCCCCCTCCCCCCGGCAAAACCCCCCCTCCCCTAAACCCCTCCCCCCCCCCTCCCCCTCGAAAACCGGGGGGGGTCACTACGGGTTCGAACCCCTCCCCCCCCCCCTTCCGGATCTGGAAAACCGGGGAGGGGTCACTACCGGTTCGAACCCCCCCCCCCCCGAAAACCGGAGGGGGGTCACTACCGGTTCGACCCCCCCCCCCCACACGCACCGCCAGCAAACGACTCCCGGTCCCTACCACCGTCCGCATCACATCCCCCACTGTTGTTCCCAGCACCACTGTCCTCACCACCACTGTCCCCACTGGTTCCACCACCGTCCCTACTGTCCCCACCAGTGCCCCCACCACTGTCGCACTGTCCCCACTGTCCCCACCACTGTTCCCACCACGGTTCCACTCTCCCCACTGTCTCCACGGCCCCAACCACTGCCCGACTATCCCCACTGTCCCCACTGTCCCACTGACTCCTCCGCTGTCCCACTGAGCTGTCCCACTGTTCCCACCACTGTCCCCACTGTCCCCACCACTGTCCCCACTGTACCTCTGTCCCATTGTCCCACCGCCGTCCTCGCCACCGCCTTCACCACTGTCCCCACCACCATTGTACCCTCCACTGTCCCACTGTTTCCACCTCATTCCCACTGTCCCCACACCACTGTCCCCACCACCACCGTTCCCACCACTGTCCACTGTCCCCCCTGTTCCCACCATTGTCCCCACCACTGTCCCCACCACTACCGTCCCCACCACTGTCCCACTGTCCCACTGTCCCCACCACTGTCCCGCTGTGCCCTCACCGCTGCCCCACCAACACCGTCCCCACCACTGTCCGCACCCCCACTCGGTTTTCGAAGGGGGGGGGGGTTCGAACCGGTAGTGACCCCCCCCGGTTTTCGAGGGGGGGGAGGGGAGGGGGGTTCGAACCGGTAGTGACCCCCCCCTTTTCATGATGAACTGGGGGGGTGGGGGGAGGGGTTCGAACCGGTAGTGACCCCCCCCGGTTTTCCGGAGGGGGAGGGGGGGGGGGGGGGTTCGAACCGGTAGTGACCCCCCCCCCCCGGTTTTCCGCCAGCAGCGGTAGAACACGCTCTTTCCAATATTGCCACCATCGTTGTGATTCCTGCCTCGTCGAATTGGATTCGGCATTATGTTGGTTACTTGTGTCTGCCGTTACGATTCGATGTCCCGTTGGCCTCCCTGCTTGACCAGGCCATGTGGCCTCTGCCTCTGTGGCGAGCGCCCCTTCGAGGAGTCGCTGTGGAGAGGAGGGCCCGAGGGCCATGAGGAGGCCCTCGTCTGCCCACTCGTGCCGCCCCAGGCTGTGGGCGGGCATCTACAGTCGGACCTGGGCCAGAGGAACCTCCCTCAAGAGCATGAGACCCTCCGCCGGCCAAAACACAAAGAACAGCCAAGGGTACCCTCCCCAAGATGCACAAGAAGACCCAATAAACACGAAGAATATCAGGATACCCTCCCCGAAACGACCTCGATCTTATACCTCGGTACGACTGTATCAGTCTGCTCGGATCCTGGCGCCACTCCGCGGCCAGCTCGAAGGCGCTCACCACGCCGACGGGATCATCGGCATTGACGTGCAGGATGGGAATGTTGAACGCCTCGGCGGTGTGGAGAGCGAGAAGAAGGCAGCAAAAAACGATTGACAAATCAGGAGGGGCGGGGGGAGAGCGGGAGAGAAGCGAGCTTCCCACCATTATTGGCAAAAAAAAATCCGGTATCCGCGGCCTCGCAGGCAGGGCCCCTGGGCCGCAACCCCGCGGATACGGGTCGCTTTGTTCGCGGATGCCCCGCACGGAACGTATCCGTACGTCCGCGTATCCACGGGATCGCGCCCTGAAGCCAGACCGCGAGGGCGCGGATGATCAGGGCGGATGATCGGGGGGGATGGCAAAATTGAAAAGCAACTCATGGGATGACTGGGGAGGGATGACAAATCGCCCCCATAGCGCTCAACAGCGCGGTTCATCGCGCGCAGAGCGGGCGCTATTAGGCGCCATTCGCAAATCAGTGATTCACGATCTAAGCAAAAAGAGCGAGTTCCGCGAATCGGTCGCATGCTGCCGGCTTCCACGTCGCCGAGGAGGCGCCTGGAGCGACGACCGTGCATCGAGGAGTTTGCCTAGCCGCGGGGTCGAAGACAGTTGCACGTGGCAGCTGTCGCGGCCTCCTCCTCCTCCTCCTCCTCCTCCTCCTCCTCCTCCTCCTCCTCCTCCTCCTCGGCTTCCTCCTCCTCCTCCTCCTCCTCCTCCTCCTCCTCCTCCTCCTCCTCCTCCTCCTTCTCCTCCTCCTCCTCCTCCATCCCCCCTCCCTACTATCCCCTCCCTCCACGTCCCCCATTCGGGGGCCCCAGTCGTCCAAGACACCCTCGGAGAACGACCCGAGTCCCAAAACCCACTCACCACGAGGTATGGTCACCACACTATTTGGGGGCCCCCGATCCTCGTCCTGCAGGAGCAGGCGCCGTGGAGAAGCCTGGCCAGGGAAGCCAGACCTCGGAGGGAACGGGCCAGGTTCTGGCTGTACAAAAGCAAAAGACAGAGACAGAGAGAAAGGGAGAGAGAGAGAGAGACAGACAGAGAGAGGCAACATAATGATACATACATATATATGTGTGCATATGCATATGGAGGGAAAGAGAGACAGAGAGACAGAGAGAGAGAGAGAGAACAAAAAAAACACTTGTTCCTCCAGCAGCCGAGTGACGTTACTGCAGCGAGGGCTGAGGCGGGGCACGCTTAGCGTCGATTCCACGAGGAATTCGCAGGGCGAGTCACGTGCAGTAAAAGACGGTGACGGTTGCGCTAGGCGAGCACGTGTGGGGGGAGAAAAACACAGACAACACAATCACGAGAGAAGAAGACGCACACACCCACACACCCACTTTCCTGCGACGCGTCAATGATTCCAGTCGGCGGTGAACCAAGTAAGGTGGGACGCGCGCAAACTGTAAACACACACGAACACATACCACGATCAGAGAACTCGGCAGCAATGCGTTGGGCGCGTCTTCCACGGCCTCCTCCCCTCCGCCTCCTCCACCTCTCGCCCTCGAAGAAGATTGTCCAGTCGCCCTGCTTAATCTCCCACGCCTCAAATCCCACCAGCTCTCCGGGCGCAGGCGGTCTAAGTCGATAGTTATTGCAACCCCTTCTTCGCCTCGCGGACGAGGGTTATCATTGCGCATGGGTGGCGGGAGTAGGAGCTGGTGGTGGGAGGTGAGAGCTTGGAGCTAGGTGGGAGGAAGGCAGGTAAGAGCTTGGAGGCTTGGAGGTAGGAGGTGTGATGTGGGAGAAGGCAGGCAGAAGGAAGACGAGAGAGCTCCTCCCTCCCCCCATTCCCCCGCGCGGAGACATGGAAGACGGAGCGGGCGGGGGCGCGGAAGTTGGGAGACGTGGACAAAGCGCCCAGAAAGTATCGCCTTGCCGAGATCGGACGAGTACATGGTCGAGCGGTCGTCCACTGGGTCCGTCGTGAAACCCACCTGGGTCCATGACTCTCTCTCTCTCTCCCTCCCTTTCTGCCAACCTCGCGACGCCCATGAGTCGACAACACTCCCTCCCTCCCCCCGCCTCCGCCTCCCCAGAGACCAGTGATTCTGGGCAAGAGTGACCTTCGGTGTGCGGCTTTGGGGGGGCCGCGGGGGGGACCAAACCTGAGCGCGCAAGCCGCTGCTATACCGCCTCGCGATCAGCGATCGGGGGACCCTATTGGGCCCGCACCACAGGTCACCCCGGCGAAAGGTCACTCTTACGTCTAGTCGACCCCTCCCTCCCACCGCCTCCGCCTCGCTCGAGAGCGTTCCGGAGCGCTCTCAGAGCGCTCCGGAACGCTCTGAGAAGGCCCTGGCGCCTGGGGCACTCTCCAGAACCTCTGGACCTCAGAGATCCTCGATGCCCGATCCTATCCTCGTCCTGGCTCCACCTTGTCCCTCCCCCGCCTCCGCCTCGCGCAGCCGTGGAGCCACAGTGCTCCGCCCAGTGAGAAGCGGCGGCGCGGACGCCAGACGGTCCAAGGCGAGTCGCGGAAAAGGCGACGACGACGACGACGACGTCGACGACGACGACGACGACGACGACGACGACGACGACGACGACGACGGCGACGGCGACGGCGACGGCGACGGCGACGGCGACGGCGACGGCGACGGCGACGGCGACGGCGACGGCGACGGCGACGGCGACGGCGACGACAGCGACGACGGCGACGACGACGGCGGCGAGCCAGCGGCGGTCGGCGCGGAGAGCGGAGGCCACGGCAAGGCCGCGGGGCCCGACGGGCGGCACCCCGCTGGGGCGACGGCTGGGCCCGGAGGGCACCGGGCCCCCGGTGAGGCAGGGGCACTCTTTGGGCAGGGCCCCGGGGCGGCGGCCAGAGCTGCGGCGCGTGCTCCCCGGGTTCCGGGCTGGTCTTCACGCGACCTCGGGGCCTCGCTGGAGGGTACAGCCACTGAGAGTCTGGGCCTGCCAGGATCGGCCTGGCCAGGATCGGTGGAAGAGGGAGGGGGCAGGAGAGGGGGAGGAGCGGGGGGGGAAGGTGCATGGGCAGGAGCAGGGGGAGGGGAAGGCCCTGGGTCGGCGGCCAGGCTCCCCTGAGATCCTGGCGTCGCAGCTTTTTCGAGCCAGGCGCCTCGGGCGGATGCCAGGGGGGGTGGCCCAAATGAGGGGCGAAGGAGAAGGCCCCAAAGGGGCCCCTTGTAGGGCCTCTTGTGGAGCCAGCAGGTGTGCAAGAGGGGCCCTCAAGGGCCCCTTTAGGGACTCGTTCTTCACGCCTCATTTAGGTCACCACCCCATGTTCGGGCCCTGGGGCCCTGACAAATCGATCCGTCTCGAAAAATGATGCAGAAAAATGGGTCCGAAGCTCGTGATCTTCCGCGATGTTGCAATTTTTCCCAGACGTCGGATCTCAGGGTCCCCCGAGCCCGGTGCGATGGTGCGGGACCTCGCGAGCGATGGTGCGCAAACCCGCCTGTCCTCCACAAGTCTCGGGGGGAACGGAGTACTCGAACCGCCACTCCACGGACCTCTCCATGGGCGCGCTCTGACCAGCAGTTCGAGGAGCGTCCAGCCGTGGCGACGAGAGCTCTCCAGGACGAGGAGCGGCATCGGCACCGTTTCCTCCCCTGGAGATCGAAGCAAAGGCCCTTCCTGCACTCGCGGTCCAGAAGTGATTAGACAAGCGCGCTCCACTCCTCGCAGAGCAACTACTCGCGAATGGCCTGCATCTGCCGAGGGGGATCTGCGACACACTGCGTCGAGGCGAAGACACGCTTTTCAAACACTTGCGAGGCAGGCACCTTGCGGGCAGTGGAACGCGCCTGGGGAGTGATGCGGAAGCTCGCCCGGGCCCCCTGGGCGCGCACAGCGCACCCATCCCGGGGCACGCGGCGGAGAGGGGCGCGGAGCACCTCGCCTGCGCCGCGAGGCCGCACACTGGGCAGGGAGACCGGCCAGGACTGCGGCGCGGGCGCTCCACGGGCTCTGGGCGCGTCTTACATACTGCGACCTCCGGGCCTCGCCGGGAGGGTGCATCCACCGATCGCCGGGGCCCACCAGGATCGGCCTGGCCAGGAGCGGGTGGAAGGGGGATGGGGTAAAATTACAAGCTAGGTGCGCTCGCGTCGTATCTGACGTCCTGCCCCTCCCTCCCATCCCTTGCTATGGCGTAGATCTCCTCTCTGTTCGCACAATCGGATGTCGTAGCATGGCATAGCGCTACATGGCATAGCATGGTGTTGAAGACTAACGCGTAGCATGACATAGCATGGCGTGGCAACGCCCCAAAGTGGGGGGATGAGGGCCTTCCGCGGCCCAGAAAATCAACGAATCGGCCGCGAATGTGTAATCACTTCCGATGGTTTCTTCGGAAGGCAATTTATCAGATTTGGGGGCCTTGTTGGAAGGAACGAAACCCATGCCGTGGTATGGCATTGGAAATAATGACGCCAGCGCTGCAGCGGGAGCACGATTCGGAACGAGCGGAAGCAGGAAATGAGGCCAGCGCTGCAGCAGGAGCAGCTTTTTGAAGCAATTGGTTATTCTACATACATACATACATTATATATATATAAATAAACGCGGACATGAGGACGCGTAGCCTGACATAGCATGGCATGGCGACGCCCAAAAGGGGGGGGGCTTCTGCGGCCCAACAAGTCAAAGAATCGACACCGAATGTGGAATCACTTCCGATGGTTTCTTCGGGAGGCTATTTGTTAGATTTTGGGGCCTATTTGGAAGGACCGAAAGACATGCCGTGGCATGGCGCTGGCAATAATGACGCCAGCGCTACAGCGGGAGCACGATTCGGAATGAGCGGAAGCGCGGAAATGAGGCCAGCGCTGTATCGAGAGCACGATTCGAAACGAGCGGTAGCCCGAAAATGAAGCCAGCGCTTAAAAGAGAGCAGCATTTTGAAAGAAAATCCAGCGAAAACCCAACTCCCAGGAATCACGTGTAAAAAACCAATACGCGGAGGGGGGCCGAACAATCCCCAGACGCCACCGGGGGAGAGAGGAGAGCAGTAGTCATATGATTGTTTCAGTGTGGAGGGGGAGGAGCGGGCGGGGGGAAAGTGCGCTGGGCAGGGGGCAGGGGGAGGGGAGGAGAGGAGAGACGCAGAGGAGCAGGCAGTTAGCTGGCGCTCCCGACCTCCACCTCCCCACCCACCCCCCCACCCCCTCGTGTTCCTCCTCGCCAGGGCGGCACGCGCCCCCCGGACTCCCGAGGGAAGTCCTGGCGCACCAGCCCGTGGTCTGGGATCGACCGGGCCAAGATCGGTGCGGGTGGACAGCTGGCGCTCCCCCGACCTCGGCGACCCCCCCGGAGCCCGACCGAGACCTTCAGAACGAGTTCAAGCGCGTGGAACCAGAGCAGGAGATGGAGGAACGAAGGAGGAGATACGGGAGGGAGAGGGGAGGGGGAGGCAGGGGAAGGTGAGGAGGTGAGGAGGAGCTCATCCCCTCCCCCGAGGGGCGCATGGGAACGTGGCGGGATCCTGCGACACTACAGTGTTATTTCGACCACCGGATATCTCCACGAGTGACTCGGGAAACCAAAGGACTTCGTCCCGTTCGGGCTATGGAGCCCTGGGCTGCTCATTGCGAACCTCTCTGAGCCCAAGGCGCCCATGGCACCCCGGCAAGGCAAGAGCAGTTTCTTGATGCGCGTCTCCAATGTAGGCCAGACTGTGCACGTGGACGCCGACGAGGACGAGGTCGAAGGCGCCGAGGACGAGCATGAGGAGGATGACGACGACGAAGACGAAGGCGACGACCAGGAAGACGAACAGCAACGAGGAGGAGGAGGAGGAGGAGGAGGAAGAAGAGAATGACGACGAGGACGAGAACGGTGACGAGGACGACGAGACCGAGAACGACGAGGACGAGTTGCAGAAACCAAAGAGCGCCGAGGGCGGGGAAGATAACGATGAGGACTTCGTTCTCATGATCCTCCTCCTCCTCCTTCTCCTCCTCCTCCTCCTGCCGTCAGGCCGAGGCAATTTTCAAATGCCTCGCCACCGCGGATAAGCGGTGCAGCCTGGGCTCCGTGTGGCGCCGCCTGAATGCGGTGTGGGTCCGATAATGTCACGCTCCTTATCCCGCCCGCTCGCGGGTGCGTTAAGGAACGGGCGGAGGGCGGCACTTCCCTCTGGGAGGTTCGTGATCGTTCGTTGTCGTCCTTCGTGTCTCGTTTCGTCGTCGTGTCCATCGCCCCTTTCCTCTTTGGGAGTTGCGGCACGGCCCTGAATTAAGTTCCGGGGTGGACGTTGTTTGCGCTCCTGGGCTGGAGAGTGGCCCTTCCCCCATCCCTGCCCTGCTGCCGCCGCTGTCGCCGTTGCAGCTGTCAGGCCAGGGCTTCTAGTGCCCTGCCACCTCGGCCAGGAGGTGCGGCCTGGGCGCGGGGAGACCCCAGTGGCACCTCCTGGTCTGAGGTGAACCGCCGTTGACGATCACGGAGGCGGGGCCCGCAGCTTCCCGCCTGCAACCTCTTGGTTGCAATGCTCTTTGCCGCGGGCATACTGTTGCCGTGCTTGTGAGGGTGCGGGCGCTGGGCAACGCTTCGTGTTTTGTCCCTTGGGCGCCGATCCCGAACCCCCGTGCGCCATTTTGGCGCGGGGTGTAGGGCGGTCCTTGGTTTGCTTTCTTTTCCTTGATTTTCTCCCTAAGGCACAGCGTTTCTGGCGCTATTGGGAGTTAGTCAAGGAAAGGATGCCGGAGGTCAGGTCCCAGCTTGTGTCCGTGATTCCCCCTTTTTGCGCGTGTGCCCTTGGTGTTGGCCGTTGGCCACTTTGGCCGTTGGCCAGGGCACGTTGGCCCGCGTTTTGCTGAGCGCCACGGTATTGTTCTGCCTATTTGGGTCCTCCTCCTCCTCCTCCTCCTCCTCCTCCTCCTCCTCCTCCTCCTCCTCCTCCTCCTCTCCTCCTAGTCATCCTCCTCTCCTCCTCGCCTCCTCCCTCCTCCTCCTCCTCCTCCTCCTCCTCCTCCTCCTCCTCCTCCTCCTCCTCCTCCTCCTCCTCCTCCTCCTCCTGCTCCCTCCTCCTCGACATAGCGAGGCGAGCAACAGAGGAGTAAGAGAGAAGAGAAGAGGAGGCGGTGGAGGACTACAACGACGAGGGAGACGAGGACGGCGAGGAGGACGACAAGAACGAGGAAGACTGGGACGTGGACGACGAGACGGACGCCGACGAGGACCACGAGGAGGACGACGGGGCCGAGTACGAGAACGACGACGGGGAGCGCCAGAGAGCAACAGCAGGAGCTGCGGGAGACAGCCCGGGCGGCGGCGTGCAGCCTGGTTGTTCACGATGACGTGGATGGTGCCGCCCACGTCGAACTCCTGCGACGGCCCGCCAGGATTGCGCCAAGTCTGGCGAATGAGGAACAGCAACGAGGGGGAGGGGGGAGGAATGGGGGGATGGGAAGATGAGAGGGGGAGGAGGAGCAAGAGAAGGACAAGGGGGAGGAGGAGGAGGAGGAGGAGGAGGAGGAGGAGGAGGAGGAGGAGGAGGAGGAGGAGGAGCAAAGGGAGAGTAAATGTGAGCACCCTCTGGAGACAAGGGGGCGACGAGGAGAAGGGGCAGGAAGACGGCGAGGAGAAGCAGAAGGGCGACGACGGGCGGGAGGAGGGTATGATTACACACACACACACACACACACACACACACACACACACCACACACACGCCACACACACACCACACAACAAAAAACAAAAAAAAAAAAAAAAAAAAAAAAAAAAAAAAAAAAAACACACACACACACACACACACACACACACACACACACGCGCGTTGGTGCTAGGGGGGACGTCGAGGGAGGATGCGGGAAAGACGAGTGGGAGGAGGAGCAGGACGAGGAGGAGGAGGAGGAGGAGCAGGACGAGGAGGAGGAGGAGGAGCAGGAAGAGGAGGAGGAGGAGGAGGAGGAGGAGGAGGAGGAGGAGGAGGAGGAGGAGGAGGAGGAGGAGGAGGAGGAGGAGGAGGAGGAGGAGGGGGGGGGGGACGCTCCCGCTGGGGCCCCAGGGCACCTCAGGAAACCCAAGGAGGCTTCAGGATATGCTAGGAAACCACAGGAGGCCCCAGCTTCTCAGGACCCCCAGGAGGCCCCAGGAACCCCCTGGAAGATTCAAAACGCCCAGGAGGCCCCAGGAGGCGGCACGGCATCCCACAGGAAGCCTTCGGAGGTTTGAGGAGGCCGCGTTTGGCATGTGGTTCTGGCGGTGGCAACACCCGGCGGTGATCCAGAATCCCCCAAAAAAGTCACCACGCGGTGTTGGGATCCGGGTAGTGTTTGGAGGATGCGTCGAGCGGCGGTGGCCCCAGGACCCACGAAACCCGCCGGTGACCCTGTGTACCAAAACCTGGGGATGACATTCTGAGGATCTGGGGTCACCGCCGGATGTCTCACTACTTGGTTTGAGGACGGCCAAATTACGGGTATGAAGTGCACTGTAGGACTCCACCAAGGGTGCGAAACAATTCGCGCTTCACGCTTTGCGGTTCGGCTCCGACTCGTCGCATCCTCTTTTTCGCCCCCGGGGGCATCGCGAGAATGCGAGGCGCGAAGTTTTTCGCGCTTCGCGCTTCGCGGAGCACGGAAAGCGAAGTTAGGTGCCCCAATAATAACACATCGTTGCGCAGTAGTTGCCGTTGCCTTCCGCGGTCGCCCCGTACCCCCTGGTGACTCCCCATATGTTTGCTAGGACATTGCGGTCCCTGGACCTACTGGAACATATCGTCGCCTCCTGCGGCCTCCAGGGACATCCCAGTACCTGCTGAGGCCTGTAGATGATGGATGCACATGTATTTGTAAGAACCACACATATATGTATAACATGTTACACACAGTCGGCAATGTACTCCGTAAAATACATCCAGTGAGTTTTTAATGTGTAAGAACACTGTATGTGTACGATACAATATACGTTTTTTTTTATATATATATATATATATATATATATATATATATACATATAGATATGTGTAGAAAATGATATATATATATATATATATACATAGATATACATATATGTGTATGTTGTATATGTATCGCCCTACATATATACGGCCCCACGTAGGGTACAATGATACATTTCTTTATGTATGTGTATATATATGTGTGTGCGCATATATGTATCACTATATACGAATATAACTATCGCATACGTAAATATACTGCTAAATAGTATCTGTACGTATACATGTATACATTCGAATTGCCCCGCGAATTGCCCCTCTGAATTTAAAGGGGAATCCCTTTCCACTTTCGGGCGGTCTCCGTAAAATCCCATCTGAATTCTTGACGCTTCGCGTATCCCCACCAGCCCATCCAGAAACGATGTCCAGGCAAGTTGAAGAGATCAGGGAAATGGGGGAGCAACGAGAGGGACAGCCGATCCGTGCAAAGGACGAGGCGGAAGAGCAGGCCAGATGGATAGATGAGGGGGTGGCGAGGAACCGAGCGAAGGAGGGATGAGGAGAATGATGACGCTGGGTGGATGGTTGAATGCCGCTCGGATGCCTCTTGGAAGCCTTTTGGAAGCCTCTTCGGACGTCTTGGGGGTCTCTTGGCGGTCAATGGGGGCTCTTGGGCGTCTTGGGTGCTTCGGGGGGGCCTCTTGAGGCCGCTTGGGATCCTCTTGGGGGGCTCTTGGGGGCCTGTTGGAGGCCTCTTGGGGCCTCTTGGGGGTCTCTTGGAGCTTCATGGCGGCCTCTTGGAGCCTCTTGGAGGCCTCTTGGAACCATCCTGGGAGCCTCTTGGAGCCTCTTGGGGGCTTCTTGGGGCCTCATGGCGGCCTCTTGGGGCCTCTTGGAGGCCTCTTGGAAGCCTCTTGGGGCCTCCTGGGCGCCCTTTGGGGCCGTCTTGGAAGCGATCGATCAAAGAAGAGGGTGGAGTTAATTAACCTTGCCCCCCCAAGAGGCCAAAATGGGGCCAAAAACATAGTAAAACCAATGATTTTGGCTTCCTCGCCGAGGCCGTTTTGGACGCTCTAACTACCAGCGGCCCCCCCCGTCCAGGTCCAGGGGAGGGGGTTAGGAGGGGTAAACCCCTCCCCGAAGGGGAAGAAGGGAAGATGGAAGAGGAAACTCTCTAAACCACCTACGCCCAGAGGGCTGGTGGGATTCAAAGGAAAATCCTCACGTTTTAAGACGGCGGGTCCCCCTAAAGTCTCCTCCAGTTATAGGGGACCGGTCCCCCTAAAATCCCCTCCAATTTTAGGGGGACCAGTCCCCCTAAAATCCAATCCCGTTTTAGGGGGACTGGTCCCCCTAAAAACCCTCTCCCATGTTAGGGGGACCAGTCCCCCTGAAATCAAATCCCGTTTTAGGGGGACCGGTACCCCTAAAATCCTTTTCAGTTTTAGGGGGATCGATCCCCCTAAAACCCACTGCCGTTTTAGGGAGGCTGTGGCCTCAGGAACTGTGGCCTCAGGAAGCCTTACTAGGCTAATAAATCCCACCAGCCCTCTGGGCGTAGGTGGTTTAGGGAGTTTCCTCTTCCATCTTCCCTTCTTCCCCTTCGGGGAGGGGTTTACCCCTCCCCCTAACCCCCTCCCCTGGACCTGGACGGGGGGGGCCGCTGGTAGTTAGAGCGTCCAAAACGGCCTCGGCGAGGAAGCCAAAATCATTGGTTTTACTAGGGTTTTGGCCCCATTTTGGCCTCTTGGGGGGGCAAGGTTAATTAACTCCACCCTCTTCTTTGATCGATCGCTTCCAAGATGACCCCAAAGGGCGCCCAGGAGGCCCCAAGAGGCTTCCAAGAGGCCTCCAAGAGGCCCCAAGAGGCCGCCATGAGGCCCCAAGAAGCCCCCAAGAGGCTCCAAGAGGCTCCCAGGATGGTTCCAAGAGGCCTCCAAGAGGCTCCAAGAGGCCGCCATGAAGCTCCAAGAGACCCCCAAGAGGCCCCAAGAGGCCTCCAACAGGCCCCCAAGAGCCCCCCAAGAGGATCCCAAGCGGCCTCAAGAGGCCCCCCCGAAGCACCCAAGACGCCCAAGAGCCCCCATTGACCGCCAAGAGACCCCAAAGACGCCCGAAGAGGCTTCCAGAAGGCTTCCAAGAGGCATCCGAGCGGTATTCAACCATCCACCCAGCGTCATCATCCTCCTCATCCCTCCTTCGCTCGGTTCCTCGCCACCCCCTCATCTATCCATCTTGCCTCCTCTTCCGCCTCATCCTTTGCACGGATCGGCTGTCCCTCTCGTTGCTCCCCCACTTCCCTGATCTCTTCAACTTGCCTGGACATTGTTTCTGGATGGGCTGGTGGGGATACGCGAAGCGTCAAGAATTGATTCGTTTCCCAGCCGTCTGGGAGGGCCCAGAAGACTCTGGACCCATCCCCAGGAAACCAGAAGGCTCCAAATAAGCTGCCGAGGGTCCCTGGCGGCATCCAGAGGTGGTTTTAACGTGATCAAAAATAAGTGGCACAACTACCTCACATCCACACTGTTCCACAGAGTACGCTGCAAAGCACTGCTTGCGGAGTCACGCTGACAACCATCGTCATCGCCGTCCTCGCCACCACCGTTATCATCATGACAGTCGTCGTGGTCGTCGTCATCGTCACCATCACCATCATTATCGCCAAGGGCAGTGTCCTCATCGTCGTCGGCGTCACCATCGTCGTCTTGGTCGTCGTCGCTATCGCCATCGTCATCGTCACTGTTACCATCGCCACCATCACCAGCATCATTGGATAGCAGATGGCAAAACAAGCTCTAAGCGAAAGAGGATGAAGGAGAACATGTTGAGGAATGAGAGATAGGTAGCAGTCCTCATGAGAATCACCATCACCATCAGCATCATCATTAGCATCAGCATCAATCAGCATCAGCATCAGCATCAGTATCAGCACCAGCATCAGTATCAATCAGCATCAGCATCACCATCAGCATCAATCAGCATCAGCATCAGCATCTCATCCAATCAACCTCCTACCCCCTCCGATCTCATTCGCCCTTCCTCCCATACGTTCTCTTTCCGTGCGCCCTCCTGCCTGCCCTCCTCAGGAGGATGAGCAAGAGGGGACAAACAATATGAGGAAGAGGAGGAGGAGGATTGCCGAAAATCCCTGGGCCCCAAGATCACTTTTTGAAAATAAACAAAGTGAAAGACACCCAGGACCTCAGAAGCCGCAGACCAAGCCACCAGGATCGCCGAAAACTCCTGGGCCTCCGAAATACTCTAAGTTTAAAATGTTCTCAAAAGTTAAAAATTTCAAGCGCTACGAAAAGTCTTTAAACGAAATAAAACTTATAACATGTTCCATGCTTCCAGGGCCCCAGAAGCCGCAGACTAAACCACTAGGATCGCCGAAAACTCCTGGGCCTCCGAACAAATCT